CGAAGTGTACTGCTCTCCCTTCCCTTGCGACATGACTGCGTGCTGTGTGGACCCGCTTTTTCCCATCCCGTCATGCGTCATGATCACTTTCACGTGTCTCCACCCTCAATGGTCCCATCCCCTGCCTCGTCTTCTGTTGCTTTCCCTCTTCCACCATCTCCTCCACTCCTCTTCCTTCAGACCGCCATCAAAGCTTGGCCCTCCTGGATCCCTCCCTCGATCATCACCGTCGCTCAAATCTCCCAGATGATGGTCGGCGTGGGCATCTGCGTCGCCTCGTTTTACTACCTGTACACGGACCCTGAGCATTGCGAAGTAAAACCCCAAAATGTCTACTCAGGAGCCTTGATGTATGGCAGTTATCTCTATCTATTTTGTGATTTCTTCGTACGCCGCTTCCTTCGGGGTGGGAAGCCGCGATTGGGAGAAGAGCGCAGCGCGGTGTTGACCATGACGAAAAAGATCAAGGACATGTAAGCGCGACAGAGGCTGTCGCGAAAGCTGGGAACAGGTGGGGATGGGGCATCCAGAGCAGCCATGACTTTGGAGGATGGGTAGCGCTCTCCCCATGCACCTCATGTAGCCCACACATGTGTGCAATCGAACACTTCCATCATCAATTCGTACAACGGATGTGACGGCGGGTCACGTAATTGATGGCAATGACAGAGAGGAAAGGCAGAAATAGGTCTTAAAACATCAAAGCACATGGTAGCGTCCATAAAAGAAAAAAAGACATGATAAGAGACCACCACACCCAGCAAGCAGTGTGAAGAGGAAGGAGCCTGAGAGGAACGGCATAAAAAAGGCGGAGATTGGAACGCAAGGGAGAGGAGGACCATCGTTGCCGGGATTTCCTTTTTGATCTTTTGCTCAGTGAACCCTCCTGGGCCCGCTTTCTGCATAGTGCAAGAGTTTGCGCACGTAAAAAAAGGATTTACAGATCCGTCTTTCGACCGATTTTGAAAGTCACCGACACGGATGGAAGGACTCTTGAAGCAGGCGATGCCCCGAACAACGCATAAATTGTCCTGAGATTACTTGCTTCTTCCTGGCTTGCGCCTCGGACATCGCGTCAAGGTAGTCCTCTTCTGTCCGTATTCTTCCTCCTGTGGTTTTCCCCTCTCTGTACACTCTCACTTCCCCTGTCTCCACGCCCAGTGAGCACACCCTCACACACACATTTTGCCTTGCGTACAAACCCGCTTCACTCGCCCCCGCCTCCTCCTTTCCCTTGCCAGATGCCCCTTTGAAGCCCACTGCCTCCTTCTTTGTACATGCCCTCCGCCCCTCACGCTTCCGCCGTGTCATCGCATCTTCGCCGTGCAGGCACCCTAGGCACCGTGCAGAGTACCCACATGCTCCACGACACTCGACTTGCTTCTTACTTGCCTGGCGATTCCCACCGAGATCCCGCCCTTCCATGTTCACTGCCCCAGCCCGAACGTCGCGGTTGTCCAGACTCCGTGGTAGGAGTACGGCACCCGCACAGGGAGATGGATCACTGCCAAGGGCGGCCTCTCCATGCGCTGGGCATCGAGTATGACCAGGTCCGACGCCTGTCGCCGCGTATCCAGCACGTAAAACAACAAATAACCGTCATCCTCCTCTTGCCTCCCCGCCCCTTCTTCCTTGTCCCTACCTCCTCGCGGTACGAAGACCGCCTCCCCGGCAAAGCAACCCGGAGGTAGACAGGGCCGGTGCACCTCCATTCTCCCTCCTTCGTCCAAATGCAGCTTGGCCACAGAATCCACGAAGCCTTCCTCCCGTACCAAGGCATTCACATAGGCGAACCTTCCCTTTTTTCCCACCGTGCAAGGGTTCAGCGTTGGGAGCTCGTAGCCATACGACGACGCAGCCAAAGGCATCGGCCCCGCCTCGACCACTCGGGCCCGCCTGACACTCGAGTCTCGACCGTCCTGCTCCTGCGGGTCCTCCGTCCCGCCCTCCTCCCCGCCCTCCTCCCCGCCCTCCTCGTACGCAAAACGAAGGACGTATCGCCATGTCTCACATTCCAGCTCGGGAGTGAAATCCGCCCTGTACATGTCACGAAACTGCTCCTCCACCTTCTCCCGTGGGGATCGGTGCTGCGCGACCAAGACTTCGACCTCGACGTCCCCATCTCCTGTCTTCCTCCCTTCCCCATTGCCTCCCTCCTTTTCCCACGCGTTCACAAAATGGTAGTTTGAAAAGGGTGGATCGATGTCTACCTCCGCCACACGCCGCAGCGTCGATTTCTCCACCACCCAGGCCTGAGTTTTCCCGCCGTTTTTCCACACATACTGTCCGCCCAAGGAGGAGAGCCCGAGGAGGGCTCGCGCCAGGGCAGAAGGAGGAGCCTGAAATGGGCTGAAGAAAATGATCAGGAAGCGCCCGGCCAGGACAAAATCGTGCACTGTGGGGATAAAGGCGAGGGGAAAGGATCTTTGCCGGAGGAGGACGGGCTGGGCGGAGGGGGAGGACGAGGGAGAGGAAATTTCGAAGATGTTGAGGGCCAGACTGGGGCCCAGGAGCATGCCAAAATTGTACAGAATGCCCGTGTCGGGGTCTACCTTGGGATGGGCGGAGAAGAAGGAGGAAAGCCGTCCATGGGGTCCGGCTGTGGCAAGGGGGAAGGAGGATAGGGATCAAGGCGGGGGAGAAAGGAAGAGGGAGGCGGTGGAGCGTCGCGTTAAGAAAAGCGTGCAGGGGACGCACGTACAGGCAGCAAATGAGCCTATGTCACCCTGTCTGGGACGGCCCCTTGGACGCCCCAGGCCTAGACATGGGCCGAACACAACATGCGCAGGCCTCTGGGTTCCGAGTCCTTTTCCCTCATCTTCCACTGGTCGCGCCGAAAGACTTCCTCTGCAGACCCGTACCCTCTCCGGTCTAGGCCAGCCCTTAACGTCAGGATGTATATCCTGGGAATATCGTCAGCCCCACCCGCCGAGCCCCAGCACTCACCGAAATCTTCCGGCTCCCTTCGCACGGCCAAGCTCACGGGGTCGAATTCAAAAGGGAGACCACCCTCACAGAGGGCCAAGGTCCTCGTCGTCCCTCCCTCCTTCGCCCCTTCCAGCACCAGTACGTTTGTGTTCAAGGGATTGTCCGGGATACGCCCCATATTCTCCCACCACTTTCCCTCCCGGCCCCCTCGCTGCGTCCATACCCCTCGACCCCCCCAGGCGCCTTCTTTCGCGTTCTTTTGGGCCAAAAATTTCTTTCCTTGCAAATACCTCTGCCTGAAAATACAGCGACCATCCGCGGTAAAGGTAAAGGCGGACACCATACCGTCTCCGTCGAACCAGTGGCTATAACGGAGTGTGGGGGAGGCGCCGACCCGGATGCGCCCTGCCCCATTGCGATACAAGGTGCCTACGAGGTCGGAGGGCACGGTACCCTGGAACGGAAAAAGAAGCGCCATGTGTGAGAGAGGGTCATCGATCGATGGTTTAAATAAGCTTTGAGGGTGCTCCGAAATTTGTGTGCCTGGGCAGCCAAAAATCAACGCATAAGTTTTTCATTATGTGCGAGATTGGAATCCCACGTACCTCAATGCATGCTGCCGATAACTCGATCAAATCAACGTCTTCTGCCGGCTCCAAGCCTGTTCGCCAAGGTCGCTCTTTCAAGGCCTCCGCGATGTCTTCTGGCGGTGACGGGGCCGTGGACAATGTACTAGCCAAGATGGAGGAGGAAGCAGATCCTATGCCTGAGAGGTAATACTTATGGAAGGTCCCTGGTAATATACTCGGATGCGACGTTTTGTGTGTGATAGATCTTGAAAACACAGAGAAATGACAAGTGTTCCATGAAGAAAGGCGTGCAAAAGCAATGCCAGACCCCACGGGAGGAGGTAAAGCCAGCGTGGCCCCGGCAGAAAGGAAGAGCCAGGGAGGGAGTGAATGTAATGAAAACCCCCACGGGCGTGCTTGACGTCTTGGTGGCATTAAGTATCTGCTGCACGAAAGGTTGGGTCTCCTAGGGGATGGAATGGGGTGTGAGGTCGTGAGCATGTGTTTCGTGTGATTCTTGAAGGAGGTTAGCGAGAAAAGCGAGGAGTCGGCGACCCCCTGACAGGCAGGCCCTTAAAAACACTAACACCACGCCTATTACAGAGCGGGAAATGGAAGAGTAAATCGGTTTTTGTGTCATGGTGGATGCAGAGAATGCATTTGCACGGGAGCAACTTCGCCTTCGTGGGCTTCTCCAAGACCACATTGCAAGCTTCGCGAGGAGGGATGGCAACGTCGAAAACAGCACACGCGTTGTATCCGCCTCGGATGGTGTTGTTCCTCGATACATCCGCATCCGTCGCATGGCATCGTCAGGAAACAATGTAGGTGCGAACAAGAATCACGAGGAGGAGGAGCATACCGTAAGGGAAGCTGTCTTGGCAGCAGGGGGTCGACGAGTCCCCTGGTGCCCTCCGTATGCAAGTGAAAGTTTTTATGCCTTGCCTCCTGAATTTCGCATCGCACAATGGCCGCTGTATCAGCAAGGAAAAGTTTATGGCATGGACGTCGCATCTGGGGTGGCTGTGTGGGCGCTGGGACCGAGGCCGGGGGACAATGTGTTGGACTTGTGTTGCTGCCCGGGCTTAAAATTGTGCATGGTGGCGGAGCAAATGCACCACACGGGGACGATCACAGGTATGATCAGGTACTCTTTCAGTGCACGAGTATTCGGAAGGGAAGTCACGGTTTCCGATCATGAGGCACATGACGTACTCCGCACCCAAGCCCTCGTTCCCTCCTCTACCCCGGTGTCCCCCGTCCTTGCACTTGCAATTTCTCTATTTACATTTTCCCCAAGGCGTAGACATCTCGCGGGGAAGGCTGACCGTCTGCCGCCAGATTTTAGTCAAATACCAAATCGGGCGCGCTGCGGGGGTCCTCGTGTCACCCTGCTCCGTGGTCCCCCTCTGGTGCCGTTTGCTCTGCGCCGACGGGTGTTGCTTCGAGACGGAATGGGATGAGGCATGGGCAGGTCGGGAGGAGGACGTGATTTTCGACTCGAGAGCCTACGACTGGCAGGTGGGTGAGTTAGGGAGAAAGAGGGGGCGTGCCGTGAACAAGGAGGGACGGCAACGGGTACAATGAAGGTGATGGAAGCTGCCCAAGGTTTCGGAATCCAAAACGTGTGCGGTCGAATCCCTTCAAGGACAGGATATGCTTGAGAAGAGTGCTGTTCGCTTGGATCCATAAAAGTGCAGGGAAAAAGGATCCTCTCTGCCGAGTTCTTCACATGCCCCCTTCTTCATACTATTTTTTTCATTTCTTCGGCCTCCCAGGGCATGGAGGCGCGGGGACAAAAGCGAATGAACCGCGGAGCTCGGCGCAGAGAGTCTTTGGCCTTGCGTAGAGTCCTGAATCCCGCAGAAAACGGAGCAGGGAGGGAGGGAAGGAGGGAGAGGCCGAATGAGGAAGGAGGGGGCTATGACAGGGTCTTGGTGGATGCGGACTGCTCACACGACGGGTCCACGCGACATATGTTGAAAGTGGCAGGCCTGGATGACTCCATGTA